GCAGGAACCCATTATTGATTGAAAGGTGACTTTTGACACATCACTAATTAGCTCTGAGGTCTCTGGTCTATCGTCTGCTTTATCTTTCCAGCATTTCTCCATCAGACGCGTTAAAAAGAAGTACCCAGTTTCGGCGATTGGCATATCAACAGTTGAAGGCCTGTCTCCCTGGACTACTTTAGTGTCAATTCTAACTGGTTGTACATTATGGAATGGATGACGACGGGCAATCATCTGATAAAGGAGCATGCCAAATGAGAATATGTCTGCTTTGTGATTATAAATGGTTCTTTTCTGTCCTATGTAAAGAACCTCTGGTGCAATGACACATTTATCCCCTTGAATACCCATGACACCTAATGGTGCCAAGTGTGTTGCTATTCCAAAATCGGTAAGTTTTGAATGACAGAGTGAAGTCTCATCCAGTGACCATAGGAGGACATTGGCTGCTTTGAGACTACGGAATATGATCCCGTGTTGATGTAGGAAGCGTAAAGCAGCTGCAACTTGGGCAGCAATACGGAACATTGTAAGTCTCGGGATTGGAGTTGATTCCTTGATGAGGTGTCTGTCAAGGGATCCCATTGGAGCCTCTTCTAGTATAAGAGCCGTCAATGGATGAACATTCACACCAACAAGACAGACTATGGAAGGATGATAGGATTTCTGTAGTAGTTTAGCTTCATGGCGTAGCTCATTAAAAGCTTCTTCCTGTCTCGTAAGATACTTTTTTATAGCGACACTTTTACCATGAAACTTTCCTCTATACACCTTACCAAACCCTCCCTCTCCTAGGAGGGAGTCCTTGTCTTCTTGAAACTTGATCTCTTCTGATTTGAGCAGATAATCAGCATCAAAGTCTTGGAGGAGCAAGTCAGGCATGATATCAACCAGAGAGACTTTGTGATTCCTCGCTGCATCTCTCTCATATCCACATTCAATCTGAGGTCTACTGCTAGTGATTATCGACATGTATTGATCTATTTTAAATTCGAAAGGTTTTTCACGTCCAAGCTTACGACACTCATAGCAAGGGACTCTCTGCTCTACACCAGAGTTCACACTATTCTCCTCCAGGCCCGGATACCACTCGTATATGAGGTTAAGTATAATATCAACCAACTGACAAATGAGCTTTGTGCCTTTACTATTTGGAGAGGCGAGGATAACAATGCCGTCCCTGTTTGTACCAGCTAGGACCTTTGATTTCCTGAGAGACTCAACCCCAAATGAAAGATCCGGGCCTTTGTAAACTATACCACTCTTCCAATAGAGGAGCTCAATGTCCTTGGGTTTGAGTGGCTTGGGATCTTCGTCATCCTCATCCACTATGAAACAGTTAATGTTGGGAAGGAGGAACTGGTTGGATGATGGAGAGAGAACAGGTGAGCTGATCATCTGAGCTGACATTTCATCAGTTACATTAGGCATAGGTGGTACCCCAGGTATTGTGTCCTCATCAGGAGTTGAATCAGTCTCATTGCTATGATCAGCTAGAACATCCAGTGCCCTGCATACCTGAGGAACTGTATGCATTATGCATGATATGAGACGACTCCAGAATCCCGGTGGAGATGAGGACTGGAAGTTAATGAAGCGAATGTAAAGAGGAGCAGACTTATCATATGGTATATCAGCCTTCTCTGGCCTCTCGTCTGGAAGCATGGAGGGGATCAGGATCTGACGATTGTTCAAAGGGAGGGCAATCTCAAACCGATCAAGGAGAGTGAGGTAACGCTCAAAGTACTCCCACTGGAATTTCGGGTCACGGAATAAGAATGGAACATTTCTACTGTAAAATATACCATTTTTAATGAAGGAGTTTTTCTCCCTGACTGTTACAATCTCACACATCACCTTATAAAACCATTGTAGATCAATAAAATAGAGCTCGTTGATCCCATGGCTCCTGTCATCATAATGGAGTATAGTACCAATGTCATTAAGAAAGAGTGTGGCAGTACGTAGCTCCTCATCACTGCATAAGTCAGTAAGATTAAGCTTGTGGACAAGATTCCTAAACTGAGCTACAGTCATGACGGGGTCTCTCAGACCTTTTCTGACCTCCTCTTGTACCTTCTCCAGCTCTTCGTTTAGCTTGATATAACTGGCTGGTATTTCTTGTCCCATTATTGGTAGACTCCTCTTTCCTCTGTATTTTGTTGCTTGATTGTATATGGCCTCCCTGAGGAGCTCAATATTCTCCAAACGGTTCATTAGACCAACTGCTAGTACCTCTGGTACCAATAGCTTGTTCTGATAGGTCTGTACTAGTTCAGCAACTTTCTCAAGGAGCTTGTCTACTTCAGGACGATCACCTTCTTCAACAGAATCAAGGTGAGTACCGACAATAAGGACACAAGAGCGAGGAGCTCTCAGTGCAATATTATCAAGCCAAGGTTTCAACTCTTGGATACCTTCCTCCCCATCCTGTACATTCCACGCCAACAAATACATTGATCGCTCTGATAGGAAACACTGATATATTGCACAGTACTCCTCCTGACCACCAAAATCCCAAATACTGAACTGGTACTCAATTTTCTTACGTCCCAGTCCCCCAGCATAATGCCACTTGCTCACATCAACCCCAACAGTCGACTGGTTGATACCGACATCAAGTCCTTGTAAACGGGCAACCAGTGTTGTCTTACCACAGTTCTGTTTCCCTAACAGCATGAGTTTCATTTGATAGAACCTACGAGCGGAGCGTAGTTTATTGTTGAGGTATCGTACACAGTCCCTGGCATCACGCTGCATGTTACGAGGAGGATCACTCAAGTCCTTGAGTCCGTCAGTAACAAGCTTAATAAGATTCTGTAATCGACCCATCTCCACTGGCAGAGAGCATATATTTTTATTGAAACTGATGTTCAAGTGCTGAAGACTCTTAAAGGAACAAACAGAGAGAGGGACAGTACGGAAACAATTATAACTAATGTTGAGAGTTCTAATGGAAGGAGCAACAATATCAGCTGGTAGACTAGAGAGCTCGTTTGAGGAGAGGTCAAGGACAGTGAGACCAGGGGACCACTCGTGTACATAAGGTATTTCAATTAGCTTGTTATTGCTCAGATTGAGCTCATTAAGACTGGGTAACTCAAACAGACAGCATGGGACAGTAACCAATTCATTGCGCTGGAAGTCTAGTTTTACCACCTGGAGAAGAGAGAGAGAAAAATACAGGAGGTTGCTGTTACCTATTATATCTAAAATACACTTTCACCTTTGCCTAGAGCACATTATGCATTCTTGCTCTTTTACAATTGCTGGCAACACTTCAATTTTTGTACACAGCACATAATCATTACATGATGATGTACAAGATTACAAGTACATGCTTTGTATGTATAGGTCTGTCTCTTACTTGTTTCAAATAGTCTCCAATTTCATTTGGGATGGCTTGAAATCCATTTCTAGCCAGTCTCAGTCTCTTTACCCAGTGTATCCTGCGGATCCAAGAGAGATCAAGTACAAGTAGACGGAGGCCATGCCAATAGACAGAACCCTCTTCCTGGTTCACATCAGTCCTCAGGAGAAGCTCCTCTCGTACAACGGAACTCTGATGGCGTCGTGCTATCTCTATTGGAACAACAGTTGAGACACGTCCACTTATGACAGCTTTCTGGACTTCAGAGAAATCATCATCATTGGCCAGTGGCTAAAAATAGAAATTGCTGTAAAATTTATCTGTGTACGTGTGTGTGATTATAGCATAAGGTCTAGGGTTAGGCTGTCAGGTACCTCAAACAATTTGGCTTCTAACATACTCTCTCTCTTCCTCACTTACATGTGTTGTGTTTTTTTGTGCTGGTACACCAAACAGCTTAAGGACCAAGTCTCTGTCATTTGTCTGTGCAGCAATGACCAGTAAGAGCATGGCCCTTGCCTCATGTTTCTGCAGTCTTTTAGAATCCTCCAGAGCTTGTTGGATGTTTTTGGCACCTTTGACGACAAGTCTCCCAACATTGAAATGGTTCCCAACCTCAACAGCAGCTGTGAGCGCATCCTCAAGGCAGTGAGGCTCCAAATCATCTATTCTGACTCGAAGTAACTCAGTTAGGTTATCACCATTTGTCTTCACTTCTTTAATGATCTCTATGAGTTAAAAATAAATTTTAGATAAGAAGATGAGATCATATTGCATGTACATGTATTTGTGGATTTTGGGGCAAAGACAGATAGGGAAGAGGGAGGGACAAATAATCTAAACCCAAACTGAAAATATTTATAACACAGTAATAAACAAGATCACTAAAGTGCATATCTTTGCCTCAATCTGTTTAATTAACAGTTTGCTTGCATGGTTAAAGTAGATGCATAAAATTGAGAGTGAAGCTTAGTAAAAATTTTGAGAAGCACTGCTACTGCAGCAATGTAAAGGTGTGGCTGCAATAAAGGATGTGCGCTCTGCCTCATGTCCACCTATAAACATTAATAAGCTCCATTTGTTGCATACAAACTTTTATTACACCCCTGATGTTTAAAAACCCTAACTGCTCATCATTCTAGAGAAGAGAACTGACTTGAATAAGCATGTTTGGACTATCATATCTAAAGAAATGAAGATGATTGGAGCAATTTTTTATATTATAATGAAAAAAGCTTCATATTAAGCCTAGCACAGCCTTGCAACCGGAAGTACTGTACAAACCACATCAATAATGCAAGGGTTGAACTTTGGTCAACTCATGCAGCGTTTGTACAGCACTTCCGGTGCATTTCCTGTCACAACACACAATATTAGCATTTTTATTAGTTCCATTTCTAAAAACTAGAACTATATATTTAAGTAATGGGTCTTTACATATCTAGAACTATATATTAGCTTTTCAAAAACTGGAACTAAAACTAAAATAGTGAGAATTAAAGTGTGGTTTTTGAAACTACAACTAGAACTTAAATGAAATGAAACTATAGCAGAACTATATGTATTGAAACATTAAACATCTGCGATGTTTACATATACAACACAATGTACAAGATGTGTGATGCATTAGAACATTTAACATGTGCACACATTGTAAGCTCTTCTTGCCTCGAAAAAGATGAATCAAGCATCACCAAGACAGAGAATAACTTTTTTTGAGAGGAATCAGGATTATAAAACTCCCAAGAACCCTACAAGAAAGTAGTGCCTCGAGTAGTGCCAGCTCATACAAGGAAATCACGTGAACATGCACACACCACACACACACACAAACAAAGGGATCACTTTACTGCCACAGGTAAGATTGGGCCTACATCACTAAAAGCAAAACAATGTATGGGGATGAGGGAGGCTTTATGTCTAGGGAAATAGCAAAATTAAGGTATGTAGGAGAATTTCCAGCATTAAGAAAAACGTTCTCATACATTTTAAAAAGAAATCAAATTGAAATGCATGCTACTAATCCTGATACAGAACAAACACATGTTAGCAGGGCTGATTATAGGCAACATGTGTACATTTAAGCACTTATTAATAAAGATACAAATTACTTTCTTGTACTTATAAATTTGATTAGTCTCTTAAACTGACCTTTGCTCCTTAAAAGTCGAACTATATTTGAATTTTTTCCCAGGCTAGCTGTCTGTCTTGGAGTTTTACCATAGTCATCAGTAAGACTGACATCAGCAGAACAATCTAGTAATACTCTGACACACTCAATGTGACCAACAATGGCTGCAAGGTGAAGCGGGGTGTAACCAGAATTAGCCTTGGCATTAACGTTAGCACCCTGTTCAATGAGATACGGAATGACTTTCAATCTGTTGCCAGAGACAGCTTCATGAAGAGGGGTGTAGCCAAAAACACCTCTTCGATTGTTGAGTAGATTGAAAAGGATTTCAGGTTCTACAGTGGCAACAAAATCCTACAAGAAAAAGAAATTAAATGATGTTATGCACTTCCACTTATACACATAATGAGAAGGGTCGTGCAGGAAAGAAACAAGGTGAAGCTCACCAACCTTTATCTTTTCTATCTTTCCATCGTGACAAAACTTGTGTAGCAGCTTGGCGTCATCTTGCATTACACCAGCCATGAATGAATTGAAACAAACGGTAGTGTACTAGGACTGAGAGTAGGAGAAAGCAAAGTCAACTCAGCAGCTAGCTCTAGCCCACCTACAGCCACACCTAGATCTAGAGCAAACATTAAAATTCTCTAGATCTAGATTGTTCAAAAATAGGAAAATTAAACAGAGCCAAATCTAAATGGATCTAGTTGTGAAGCAGCATGTATAGTCAGCTACACCTCTAACAAGTGTAGAAGTAGATCTAGATCATTGTTGTTTTCACCACCTCATTAAGGTTCTCTCCACCTTATGATGCCTCTAGAGAAGTCTTTAGACCATATGTGGCAAGATATAGGTGACAAGCACTATGAACTAATTTACTGGTAACTGTAGTCACAGAGTAATGAAGCACCATAGGTGCGTGGACTCGCCTAGATGCTTTTTACTATTTTGAAGCTACTATTATTTGTGAGTGGTAATCTTTGCAGTGGCTTTAAAATTGGCAAAAATTAGTACTCCCACTTATTAATAACTTAAGTTTATCAGTAGTTATAATTCAAAATTGCAAAAAATATTAGAAAAAGATAAATGGTTGAAACTGTACAAGGCCAACAAAGCTATCATAAAATTAAATAGTATTTATTTTCTTTTCTCACCTATGTAAATTAGTGATTTGCATTA